GTTAAAAAGACGAATGGTCAAAATGCCAAATATGCAAATTATTATTCCCTGGTATTGGTTACTCTCCAAAAAACAAAAGCATGAAATATAATCCTACATTTCCAATTGGCATCTTCTTATTTGACCCACCTGGCTTGGTAAATACCCACGACTTTTAAACTCCACACCCACAGGGATTTCGATTTTAAAGTTGTGCGCTGGAAATCACAACATTTCGCTGTTAAGAAGTGAGAAACGGAAATTGAAAAGTACGCTCACACCATCTTGTGTCATTTTGTGACACAACAAGTGTTCCTCAACCAACAAAAGTGGACTATTAATGTCTAACGTTGACTTTGGACTCCCATGACAATAATTCTTCATTCAAGATATCAAGACATTCATTATCCTCCATGGATTTACTTAAACAGTAATCTAGAATACTCATCTAATTCCTCCCATTGCACTCAAAGACCTTCAGAGTCAGCTCTGGAGGAGACTTTTCTCTGAGGTAATGAATGAGGTGCGTCTGCACGCTTTCTTGTCACCATTAGGCAATGGTGGAAGCTTTTCCAAGATGTATGGCGTAATATAAATGCATACAGTGTGAGCATTACATTTGTTGAATTGACTTATTTCATTCCCTTCTTGTCTGTTTTTCTAACTTTTACATTTCTTCCCCTTTTCACTCTAGTTTCAATTGGGACCCGAAAAAATGCTTCTCCCGAGGTAGGCAATGGCGGGTCAGATTTCAGGAAATGCGCAATCTAGAGGGGCGAGAGGGGGGAAACAGAGATGTGCCATGTTGCTGACATGGCAGCCGTCACGTCACACTAAGCAGTAAGAGTGATGCGCACAGACAGCACTGAGATTTGTAAAATACTCCAGTAGGCTTCAAACCAACCAAGCCTGCCTTCCCTGTACCTAAATATCTAATACCAAGGAGCAAAGGCAGCGAGACGCAAGATGATAATGTGTGAAATGACACTGATTAGGTCAAGATGTCTTCAGTTGTTCATCAGATTTCAGAACTTTTTGTTGCAGTATGAATAAAGCATAAGAGGTTATATCAAGTATGTAATATATTTTTCTCCTGGCTCCAGGGCCAATTGTGCAGAGATTGTTTTATTTTATTTTCTTTGCATTGAAGATGGAGAAGCAGCTCTATATGTAAAGTAAGCGGTGCAAGTCAGGTCTGCAGAGCATGCTTGAATTAGTCAGATGAGAGTCAAATAAAGCAAATAATGAACATGGGTGTTAAAGAACATCCACCAGTGGCTTCTTGTTGCTGTCTATAAGCATGTGCTGGGTGACATCATTTCCTCCTTTAAGAGTTAATAAAGAGCATGCAATTGATTTTGATTGTAACTGAAGGGCAATAAATTCAGAAACCAAGTCTATCTGAGTAAAGAAGTTGACTTCTGAATTTGAAAGTGGATGAAAGGAGCTGCTCACTGCCAGTAAGACAAAAATCATCTGATTGATGTGATGCTCAAGTCCCCTAACAAGTGGAAAGGTCCACCAGAAACAAGACTGTCACCTCTCAAACTACTTTTAGAATGTACAGCTTCTCTTTGTTGCTTGACTTAGTAATTAAAGAGATTTGAGACCAGCATCACCAGAGGAATATTATTGATTATTATGCATCTAGAAGTAGCACAGCAGACAGACTGTTCCGATTCATATCAAACCAACACCATCATTGTCCTGAGCACAGTCAAGCAGCCGCGCAGAAGCTGGGAGACACGGAAGAATGAGAAGCTATCTGGCGATCAGGGTCCCAAGACAGAAGCACTACAATGCTCCAGATAACTTGTCATGCAGAGACAGATAACATTTGTTTTTGCTCAAAATTTCCATCCTAGAAATAGTCCGATTTTACATTGAACCTTCAAAACCAGGTTATAATAATAATAAATTATGGAGTAAAATAAAAGCTGCCTGACAATTCTGTGCAACATCAACTCAACAGGATTGTTGATAAACGCTCTCTGTAATGGCCATTGACATCACAAAGTGTAAAACTGGGAGTGGTGTGAGAAGCTTAGAAATGCCGTTGCCGTGGATCGTTGTGTCTTTCGAGGTACAACGCTGTTGGCTGCTAACAAACTGCAGGCTTTCACCTTCTCTATTTAATGTGCACATCGGGACAAAGCAAGCTCAGAGAACGAGCTAAACAAAAAGAAAAGATGGCCCGAGTTGCTACACATCCATGATGAATCACTGCCACTTTTATAGCCTCTAATAAGTTGATGCAAAGCCATTTTTCTTCCTGCCCATCGTTCAAACATTTAAGGCATATTTACAAGGAACTTGTTAAAATATTTAATAATATTTAGTGGCAATTTCGGAGCAGCCTGTCATGGGGAAATTTATTACCCTTAAGTGTTTAAAAAGGCGATGACATGAATAACAAACTGTCAAAATTTCCTAATTTGCATAGACAGGCCATAACTCCTGATACCTTGCATTAAAAAAAGAGGTTTTTAACAAAACGAGTCATAAAAGAAGCATTCAAAGTGAATGATGGGAAAGACTCTTCCAGAAAGTTGCACCACAGAGACAGCCTCCCCCCACTACAGATGCTTCAGAGATCAAGTCAGCCAATAAAGGGACATATATCCTGCTGCCTTGACTTATTTATCCTGTGTGGATGAGCTCAAGATGGAACATCTCCTATAGGCAAGCCTAATTAATTGTGACAAAAGGGCTAATTCAGAGGCTGCACAAGAAAAGTCAGCCAAACAATAATATTCCCTACAAATCATCTCTGCCCGTCAAATATTTCCCCCATAACTTTCTAATTCAAAGTCGTTCGGACGTGAGGCTTTTGTTAAGGAACTTCATGGAGCCAAACACCCTCCCACGCATCTCTGCCATTCTGTTCACACTCACACTGACTAAAAACATCAGAGGAAAGTGCCTTGCCCTTTGTTTGACTCGCTCGAGATGGTGGCCGTGTTTGATGCTGCTTCTTCCGGCGGATTCAGCGGTTTTGGGCGGTAACGCCCAGTGACCTGGGCCCGGCCCGGCTGTCCTAGTCACAAAAAAGGTCCCCCGTAGACACTGATTGCAAGGCTATGAGTACTCTCTCCCCTGTGCCCTCTCAGTGCAACTCTAATTAATAGCCAATTCATCTTCTCTGATCTGAGCCAGCACATGGAGTAATATATCGTTAGTTTGGCAAGCGAGCTATTAAAGTGTAATAACCAAGTACCAGCACTCGATTTGGAAGAGTAGCACATACTTAACCATGAAGTGGAAACAATTAATTTATTGGAGAATCTCCTGTAACCAATCATTTACTAGCACACACACACACACACAGTGATGCAAAAACCATCTCCTGTTGTGTGTGGCACAAGTCAATGACATATTTTGGGCTCTGCGCCTGAAAACTCTCGCGCTGTGACCAGTTATGTAACCCGATCTAAGCACCACTGTCGCACTTTCTGCCCGCATCAAATAAAAAAGACAGAAAGTTTTCAAATGGCATCTGCAAGGAAGGAAGTTCATAACACAAAGGACCCTGCTCGGTTAAAGGTGACATTATCACATTCAGGGGAAATTCATTCCACTCAATGATCACAATGATTTAACTCATTGATGAAATCTAAGTTTTAAAGAAACTTCAGGTGAATCTTTAAACATGTACAGCAAAGAAACTCTCTGCAAGTGGTCGGGGATCCCCTGAGGTCCAGGAAATAAGTATGAATAACATAAATAAAGAAGAACGGAGAGAAGCTGTCAACTTTTGCTTTGTGACATCTTTATAAATTGATGGCAAGACCACCAAACCAATTGATTGCCAATGTAAAGCATTGTGTAGCCTTACCTCCTATTTAATTTCTGTTAGTGAACTGTAGCCCAGGTGAGGGACTTTGGCAAAGAAGGCATATCCATAAGTGCCTTCAAACTGGGCAAAAACGCCATATAGAAAGCCAGTACATCACACACGATACACAATATTAAAATACACAGTCATCCAATCGTGATACAAGCGCCTAGCCTAACAACAACAACAACAATAACAGCATGGTTTGGTAACAAGGGAACTATCAACATTAAGAAATGATATATTCTACACAATATGATTCACTCCACCAAATACAACTCATTTTATTTGTCTTATCTCAGACAATTAAGGTACACAGTTACAAAACAACCCACTGTGTCCGCTTCCTCAATCAACCTTAGAACAATAAACCCATCCTTCAAACATTCATAATTGCAAGAAATGAATGAAAATACTCATGACTCAGTCTTGTGCAAAGAGACTTTGGTCTGCCACCAAAGCAAAACCTTTAAAACCCATTATTCTTTTTGAAAGAACTAATGACGTTTTTTGTCTCTTCAGCTTAACACACTAATTGACAGTTTTTTTGGAGGATAGCCCGGATGGAAAAATAAGTACCCCCTTAAAGACCCAAGTCCCTTGCTCATTCCCTTAGCTTTAAGTCCCTTATTAATTAAACTTTCACCAAGTACGGATTTTTTATTAAAAAGATAAAGTCTGCTCACCGTAAACAAAGAACTAGCCTATGGTCTCTAAAGTTACAATTTTTGTTCTATAAATAAAAGAGACTTTTTATACCATCTTTTGCATCATCCACACGGTACAGTAATTAGAGGGAGACTTTCACTCCAGCTACACTAAAATTGGTCAGGTTTAACCAATACCCTTTGCACCAACTGAATAAATACACTAAGACTGTTCATTTTAGCATCATGGGACGTTATTTACTGTATAGCAAACAGAGGCAGCGGCAGCGGGCTCAGGAGAGACAGAAGTGTCAATATGTGTTTTGCCAGTGCTGTGTGTCGAGCCATACATCCTGCCACACCGTTGTTCAGACGGAAAATAAAGCTACAGCCAAATATTGACTGCAGCTTTACGATCAGTCACCCACTTGATCAATCAAATTCCCTCTTGTGTCATTAACTTTGCAACAATATTTGTCAATCAACATCATAAGACAGGGATTGTGTTGCTCCAATTAGGGAGCCCTCTCCTTAATGTTGCTTTTATCAACAACAACAGAAAAATGCAGACTGCAGAAAAAGACGTTTGTACAAAAACAGGAATATTACAGATAGAAGCTAGAATGCTCAAGAAAATTAAAATGCACTTCCTACTCTATCAGTGGTGATCTAATATAAACCGGTCGACATTAAAAAGGCATTCATTGTATTGTTCTGTCATCAATAAAAACATTTTCTTCCATCAAAAGTATCTTGGGAACTTCCTTTTCCTTTTTTTTTCCTGGCCTACTGTAATAAGCATCTAAAACTACATGGCAGAGCTGCTTCGGTGCTTCACAGTTCTCCAAATGTATTCAGCTGCTTTGACCACAAGTATACAGCGAAAACAGAGAAACTGCCTTGGGGGGGATCATTGTAAAAGATCTCCAGGGACTATCTCTGGATGCGGTTATCTGTAGAGAAGGTGGAGGAGGTCAACATTACATCCACTCAAGTGCAAACTGTAGTGGGCGGGTCGAAGCCATTGTTATGTCACTCTGTTACGGGGCTGAGATGAAAACAACGGAGACAGACACACGCGGCGTTAAGGTGCATTAAGTTGCCAGAAAAGTCACGTGTCGTCCAAGGAGGATCATTATGCCCCTTTCGCAGTAACTGCTGTACAGCCGGCAAATCACAGCCAATTAAGACCCTTTAAACTTACAAGTCAAGCATCACTTGTTGTGCCGTCCATAATGGGGTTTTATGGATATGAAGCAAGTCCGATGGTTGTATTGGTGATGAATGTTAAACTTTACATGAAATGTTGCCCGAGTAAGAATGGTGTTGAAAACTAAACAGATTATTTCGTGCTTTCGGTTTTTCAGAGAGAGAGAGAGAGAGAGAGAGAGAGAGAGAGAGGCCTTGGGAACTGCATCTTTGATCCAATTCTATCATTTCATGAGAATAACACTTTCTACTTGTTCAGGGGGGGATAAACAGTTCAAGCCTGTTTCACAAATTTTTTGTGTCAGTTTTCTGTTTTCCGCTAACGAGATGTCACTAATATGTACTGGAATGCTGTGTGAATAAACAATTTGATGGGCCACGAAGAACTTAATGATGTATACCAAATGTGGAGGGACAGCTTCTAAGCGCAGACTTTTGTAGACAAACATAGCTGTTGACAACATTTCCACACAGCTCGCCCTTACTGTCAGGCTGAACATCTAAAATTAAGCAAAAAAAACGTTACCAAGGTACCGCAAGTGTTAACAAATCATGTCTTATTAACATTTTGCCTCAATTGGTGAAATTGAAAAGACAGATAATGAAGAAAACGCCACTTAGTCAGAGTAAAATAATAATTAAAAGAAAAACAGAATTCCTGCATGCATGCATTTGTCAAAAACAAACCCGGCTTCTTTTTGACTAATTAACAAAAGCATGAATCAAACACTGCATGTTCTCCATTTGTATAAATGCAGCTACCTATTGCCATGTGAATTTTGTTGCGTCGTTCCTCTATCCACATGGCAGTTTATTCAAGCCTAATTCGTGCCACTGTGTCTTCCCGGGAGCAGACTCCAGTCATCTTTAAACGGCTCCATTTAAAATGCAATTTGATTATCTGCCAAATTGCTACCAAGTCTCTCCCTCTGCAGCTTGGGGATGGGGGGGTGAAAAAATTTAATTAGCATTTGTGCATAAAAAGGGAGGTCTTTGTTGCATTTTGAACCTGACATCCCAGAATGACCACCACTTTCAAAGAGTCATCGCCCAAACGATTTCAAACGAATAGATCCAAGGGGACAGAAGCAGTCCTGCCAAGGAGGGGTGGGGGAATCACAGAGGTCTTCAGTGGCACTGAAAAAAACCCCACAGGACATGGCATGTTTAAATAATCAAAAACTTTTCTTTAATCATAGTTTAGAAAATTGGCTGGGACCTTCAGCGGGAGACAGCTGCTCTGCCCCGTAGCCATTTAATGAGATTCACTGAGGGTTTCCCTTAAAATATTTACGCTGTCCCATGGCACAGCAATATTGTTCTAGAATGGGGAGATAAGAGCCAAGGAGGTGTGTTTAAGTTCTCCTAATCAATTTGCTAATTACTGGAGCAGCTATAGGAGAGGAGAGAGCAGTCCCTCCTGGCAAGCCGTATTCTAATAAACGCTGAAATTTTTATTTACTCCCTTAGCCGAGAGGAATTCTGAAGTGGGATTACAGCAAAAAGCGCTGATTGAGACAGAGCTGTGCGCTGGTTTAGGTCGCAGTAAAAGGATCAAGGAGAGGTCTCGAAACATAAAAGGATCTCGCAGGACCTGCACCTTTGCATCTGTTCAGTGAATGCAGATGACAGACTCTCCCAGACTTGGCATGAAAAGACCCGACTGCTTCAGCTAGATATCAACAAATATTAATGAGACTTCTGGTTGTTGAATAATAAAACAGGTTTATTGTCAGAGTTAATGCGTATTTGTGTGGTATCCACACTGCATTACAAACTGAAACAAAAAATATGTATATTCATTAATGTACATGCACAGTATAGAAATACTGAGAATACTTTATTACTTTAAATTTTAATACTTACTATTATATGAGCTACGGGGTGAAATCTTACATGGAGCGGAGGTCAGGAGGCCCAGACATTATGCCAGCCGTTAGGTTTGGCCCTCTGGAACACCCCCCCTCCGCCCCCCCCAACCTCTGGGACTGAGGGCAACTCTGGACCTGTCATATTACACAGGCCACATCTTCTTCAGGGTTAGAGGCAAAATCTGCTCCACCTCTTCAATGCCACATTATCTAAAGGCCCACCTCCCTCTCCAAGGCTTATAGCGTTTGCCTGGATCAAGAAAGGTCAAAGGTCAGCATAGATGGAGAGCTGTTATGGACCACAGATCTGGTAGAAAAGCTGTGTAGTTCTTAAATTCTGTTATTGAACATTGTCTGTCCACATGTAATACTTGTGCTCTATGTTGACGGATTCAGTTCACGGAATGTCTAGATTCTCTTGTCTTGTGGCAAATTAAACTACCAATATTTTTTATAAATGATCCTCCCATTTGCAATACTCCGCCACCGCTATTTTTTGTGATTGAAAACAAGTCTAGTAAGACAACCTTCTCTTTTACCTTGTCTCCTATTTTGAATATTTGCAAACACCTTTAAACTACATAATAAAAATGACGCTCCCATTTGCAATTTTGCTCTTTTGCTAAATACGACCAGACAAAAAAAGGTAAAGCACAAACACAGACTTATTGGTATTTACGGTCCATTTCCATGCCGCTGTATTCATCTCTCCAATCAACTTGTTCCCCTAACTCCCACAGTCTCTCCAGTGTTACTGAGCGCAAGAGATCTGAGAACGATTCCATCGAGAATTGAGGCAAAAACAAAAACACGAGAAAAAACCTGTTGCTGTGACATTTTGTTCCCTCTCACCTCATCGCATGCCAGTCACAATGGACCGGTGTGTGGGGGATCTGTGTTCAGGTCACCATGGAGATGGCTCTCTGCCTCCCAAGGCTCCCTTGGGAGGGGGTTGGAGGATGGGTGGGGAAGGAGTGAGCAAGGGGGGGGGGTAACGGAGCAGGTTGCCAATGAAAGCGCAGTGTCGGGTGAGAAGAATGGTAAAGGAGAGATGTTCCTGAGAAACACCTTTCGTGTGGAAGACGGCAACTTTTTCCGATCAACACACAACGAAATAGGCTGAAACGTTTCACTCCTTAACCTTTAAAAGGGAAAAAAATATATAACTAAATAGTCCAGGTTCATAAGCAAAGGTCTGAGAACATCTGTCTCTGGGTAAATCATCCCTACATGACAGAAAGGCCCAGAGATGGCATTACACTGAGCGAGACAAAAGGGCACCCGCACCCCACACCCTCAGCTCCAATTTCATTTGCTTATTTCACTGGTTGTCCCCCTCTACAATTAAGCCAACATATTTCAAGGGGATAGCCAGTGTCTTCATCGAAAGTCAAATACACCCGTATATAAAGCTGGAGAACAGGCAGGTATAAGTACAATATATAAAACTGTTCTTAATGGTAACCAGTAGTACATATCTATCATTAGCACGTCGGTCAGCCTGTGTAAAGTGTGTAAACTGTGCGATCCAAAGACTGAACAAATGTAATTTCAATTAATTGATTGTTAATGTAAGAAGCAGACCAATAATCTGAGTTTTAATCAAATTATTACAAAGATTCCCACCCCTCATTAGTACTGCTGAAAAAAGAGCAAAACATTCTTGACGATTTATTTTGAGGCGTTAATTTCGCATTATTTTGACAGTTGAACTTGTCTCACTCTGGTAGCAGTCAACAGGACTCCAGTTTGAGAAGAATTCAACAATCCACCAACACTTTTAGTGTCACAGGTGCTTTACCTGCAATGTGTATAGTTCAAAACAATGCTTAACATTGACTCTGATGAGAGAAACACTCACCTTACTAGAAGTATAAAGATCACCGTTGGACTGAGATTAATGTAACAGACATGTCTCCAATCCGATGTGATTAATGAACAGATATTCGGCACACTGGATAGTAAAGTCGAGTAACACATGCTGCATCGGATTTACATTTAAGCAACATGGTTTAACAACCACTACAAGTGGCTGGCAATTTGTCAAGTGAGTTAATTGGTCACCAGTTCATCCAATTCATCTTAATGCGTGCTTTTGGACCACACCCAAAGAGCAGTGAATTAGGCATGCACTGCAGCCAACAGTCACTTTGAGTACAAGACTGAATCCCCAGTGGTGATCGCTGCTAAAGTAACGCTCCTATTTCTCTTATAGTCGAGCTTTGCTTTGCTAATCTGTGAATTATTATCAAATTCTGCTTATGAATGACATTTGGTATTATTATGGCCCAATTTGTCAGTTTTTAGTTCTGATGCAGAACTAAATGCCAGGTGGTGTAGCAAGTGAAAAGCTAAAAGCTGTGAGGTGGAGGAGGAGGGGGGGTCCTAACCTTTACACAGCGTCCTCACTTTCTCCTTGAACATGTACCCTAAACCGTGCTCCTCTGGTCCCCCGCATGTCCCAAAGAGGCCAGCTGGGAACGGTGCGCATGTGCTGACGTCCCTACTAACCTTGTGTACGGATTACCGTGCGTTTACACTCAACGCTCCTTCTTTCCTTAAGACTTATTAGGAATGATAATGAGCTCGGAAAGGGGCAGCATGTCCCTTTCTCAACTCTGTGGAAGCTCTCCTCCCTCTTTCTCTCTGTTTCTTGTCTCACTCCTCTCTTTATTCCTTCTTTCTGCAGCCTCCCCCCCCTCGCCCCCCTCCATCGTATTGAAAGGACCCAGGACAAATTACCAAAAGGGCCATTTTCATCTATGAACTGCTGGATTTAATCGATACTTATTTCATGCCTTCAAAATCAACCCTATAATACTGTTGTCTGCGTGATTTGTTTATTTTGCTCTGGAATATTCCCTCAGTCGAATGGGGGGGGCACGGGATGCAATTCACCTTGAACCTCCATTATATTGGATTTCTCTACTGGCTGATCAAGCATGCAAAAAAGACATTTCCTTAGCAGTAAAATAAAAACAATAATGATGATTAAAAAAACACGTGTGCTATTTGTGCGGGCATAACAGTATGTGTTGGAAGGCAGTATATGTTTACAAGGCAAAACACCGTGGTTGAGCCAGTGTGAATTTGTATACAGAATCCGTGCACCGAGTGCAATTGATAAAGCTTATGAGCTGGGAAACAAAAGTAGTGGCTCCTGAAGCTTGTCAAAGCCGCCTGGGATTACGGACGCTCATTTGACATCAAAGACCTGAGGTCCACAGCCAAGGTCAGACAGAATAGGAATACACAAGGGTTTAATTCTACACACCCCTTGACAGATGCAGATGGGTACTTATGAGACATGAGGCATTTCCCTGACTGATAGGGCTGCAGGAAATAAGAACGGCGGAGGCATCGCACACTGATTATCCTCCGTGATTCTCAAACAGTCGAATGAGCCAGAAGCGCCGAGCTACAAGAAACCATTCAAGTACCATTTTAGAGCCCGAGCCAAACGAAAGGCCTACGGGACCACACCCATAAACACTGGACTAAACACACAGAAACCAAAATGGTCCATAAGGGCCTTTGATTTTCGCAGAGCACTACCTTTACCTACGGTCACAATGAAAAATGACGAAAGCAGGGAGGCTGAGAGCGAGCAAAAGAGAGGATGGGAAAGAAGGGCAGTATTTTAGACGGATGGATATTGGACTGTCTCATCAATGCCGAAGAGAGATGAGAACCTCGACCACCGGTCTGACAGTGAAGGCTGGCTGGTGGCCAGATGGAGATGGACCTTCGGACAGCGGACGCATGCCGTCACATTGCAGTGTTACATTGAGGCCGGGCGCACGGGGACGAGGAGCTGGAAACGGCTTCGAATGATCAATTTACAGCTGTTCACGGAGGTGAACTGTTGCACCCTGTAGTGTCACCTGCTGTTGGTTATCATTTTCGGTGACCTCGTAAAATAAGCGACACCACTAAAGTAAGCTTATCTCTAGTCTGACTAATGTTTGCTATTGAAATCACACAAAATGCAAGCTAATTTCATTTCATGTCTAAACATGTATTTTCAAGTTTGCCTGTGTAAGTGTGAAGCGTGTGCTTGCTTTGCACGCATGAATACAGTTAGGCTGGACAGCTGCTGCAGTAGGGGGCTATTATGGGGAAGACCTCAAAAGAACACTGGGAACATAATGCATCTTTTTACATTATACGTTTATTTAATCGACGACTGACTGGGGAGACAAAAAAAAAAATCAAACACAAAACCGTAAAGTAAAAGATAAGAAATGTAATGTTTACCTTGTGTTGTACTAGAACTGGCATTTTAATATAGACGATGGCTTTCCATGAATGATCTGTTTAACCAAAGACAGGAGGGAGAGAGAGGGGGGAAAAAAGGATAATTAATTACTTTTGTGAGCTATTGCACGGGAGAGACAATAAACCTGCCTGGTCGCCATGGATATGACATATTTGCTCTGAAAACAACACAATAATTAGCAAAGGAGAAAGATCCGGTGAGAATATGAGAACTCAGGGTTTAAAGTGCCAGTGATCTATTCCTGTCCTCTTCTTCATCCCTGAGAATAATAACAAACACGTTGGCTTGCACACAACACAGACCTCTATCAATTCACTACGGCGACCCTTTACAAAAGCATGTTAAATGAAATCTCACATCAAAGTGGTGATTTATAAAGCTCACAGCTAATCAAACACGCAGGGTACACAGAGTGTTTTTTAAACAGATTTTAAACAGATTGTTGTGGTTTTTTTGCTCTACAGACGGTGGAAGTCAGGGAAAAAAAGCTGCGTTTCAGCTGCCGAGAGAAGGAACAGAAGGAGAAGCGTGCCAAAGTGCGTGAAGGTGGATAAACTGACAATAGTTCGCACGACATATTGGGGCAAATAAGCAGGGTTTTTTTTGTTTATTTTTGCCAGACGGACTAATAACGAGGTCCGTTCATCTGTCAGCAGGTCACACTGTGACCAACAGACCATACTTCCAAAAGCCATTTACAGAGAATCAGCTCAACTTCCGCATTCGGAGCTTTGAATATTGACAGCATTTATACCAGTTCCTCTATTTACGGTAAATGACGCTGCGCGAGGCTGCTACCTGCTATAAGCGAACCAAACGACTTTCACCAAGTTTTTTCACAACAAAAACTCGGCAGTTTTTCGGCAAAGCAGACGCGCCCAAAAGTCCTGGCGAGGTGTAAAGTGTTGACTGAACACTTTGCTGAATGCACAATAAAAACAACCTCACGTCGGTCCCGTTTTCGCTCTTTTCTCTGCTTCATATCTTTGGGGGGGAAACGGGAGCAGAAGGGGGAGAAGTTGCCGTGTCAACTTTTTGCGGGAAGCGCGCTTGTTTCGCCCGATATTGACGGCGTGTTCATCTAAAAAAAAAACACTGTGAGGGGAATTTATAAAGTTTTACGGGAAAGCCCGGTCCTCTTTTCTTTTTTGATTTGTTTGTTATTTGTGTGCGTTCCTTCCAGACGCGCTTATCAGACTGCGTGAGTCCGCAGCGGACCTGCTGCCGCCGCCGCCGCGTCGCGTCCACCGAGTCCGTCCGTCAATTCACTGACATTCGCCGTAAACTGCCTCAATAACTGCCTCGAAACGCCCGCGCCCACGGCCACTGCCACCCCGCTGTGTGGATGTCGCTTTCCGGCAGGGTATGATGTGTCTAGAGAGGGAGCAGCCCGTCCAGTAGTTGAGAGGAAAAGGAAAACTCTTACCTGAGGTATACTTCGTTGTCTCTCGGTGACTTCCGACTTAGAGCAGGTGTGCGCGCGTGTGTGTGTGTTTACGGTGGATATTGTGAGCGCTTTCATTCATGAAGTTGACACATTATTTTTTTCTCAGTTTTTTCGGGTTTTATTATGTAGCATTTTCTAATTTCTCACTGGGCGAGTCGCCCGGAAGATCTGCCCTGGAGACCGGCTCCAAGCGGGAAGAGGAGTCGTTAATTGAATTTCTCGGCTGGCAGGTGTCGCTTAGAAAACGTGGACTGGAGTTCAGCTGTGGTCTCTTGTGTGAGAGTTTGACCAAACGATCGGCTCTTTCGCTATATTTCACATCAATGTGTTATGGGTTAATACACCCAGGCCAAGTGAAATCACTTGATACATTGTCACGGGCTAATAAAGTAGTTATTAATAGTTATTGTTAGAGGCGCGGCTGTAGTCTAGACCAACTTCATCAAGTCCTATAGACAAGGTCCAGAATCAAGACCAAGTCCAAAAGTAGAGACAAAGACCGAGTCCACCAGCAAATCGAGTCCTGTCCGAGATGATTACAGGCCACAGTGTCTTTTTTTGTGCAACTGCAAACTGCAAATACAGCTGATAACAGTCTAGATGTAACAATGTAATAAACGGCAGTTCCAGGATAACATTTCTGGCCCATAAAACATACTCATTTGCATTTACGTTACCCAGACCTGGTTTCGTTATGAATAAATGAGAGTCAATATTAGAACTGAGTTGGAACTTGGTTCCAGAGGGTAAAAGCACTGGAGTTAGGCAATATGTTAAAAGTCTTCCATTGAGGTCTCTAACTGTATTAATCATTGTCTTAATATACTTTATTAAAGCCATTATGACAATAAAGAAGAAGAAGAACTAACTTGGAGTCATTCTAATTCCTTTTTATTCAGTGTATGCAATGTTTTATTTAAGTGCTTTTTCTGGTAAAATAAAAGTTACATGCAGCTCTATGTAACACCATGATCACAATATGTTGACAACCATTTGCCTATTTACAAATTCAGCACAGCAGCAGCATTCTTTTACAGTGGTTTTTCTGAACATGTATTACCAACTTCTCCTGTTAGCAGTTTTGGTGACCACTAAATCCTGAGGCATATATACAGCTGTTATTAATGTACAATTAAAAGTTCTCTTCGATATTTAAAACATTAATATAGCAGCAAAAACAAATCCGTAGTGGACTTTTTGTGTGTATGCGTCGTTTAAGTTTCACAATTGATCAACCATTATTTAAGTTTTTCCCAGTCCGAGTTTACTTTTTCTTTCGGCAGAGCACAAATGTCCCTTTCTGTCTTTATTTTCCTTCTCTCTCACCTTTCCTACCGACTACCATATATCAATAATTTACTGTAAAATATTCTGAGCATGAGACTCCTTGAAGGTATCCCAGGAGCAAAGCCCATAGGAACGGCGAGGCTGTGATAATGTATTTTAGATTTGAACTATCCTTATCTAAATTCTGCAGTCTTGCAAACTATTGACAAACAGATTATTGCCAATTAGCAGTTTTGTGACGTGTCCTGTTGTACACGATAAAGAATTAAGAGGATCGATGCGAGTCAACTAACGAGGTAGATAGCGCTTTACTCTTTGATCTAAACCCGTTGTGGCGTTTAGGGTCCAAGGAATGTGACCTACTGCTTGGTGTCCCTCCAGTACAATTGGGATGTTTGTTAATTGATGTGTCATATTATAATCACATCACCATCTAATCCTCATTCCAGAAACACATGGAGGCAACACAAAGTCTGATTAATAAATATCCCAATTCAGACCAATCTCTCAAACTGTATGTCATTAAAACGTACACGTTTATTATCTTACGTCCCAATGTTTCCACCAATTGTCCTACCGCCTCAGACATGAACATGCTCACTATGTAGTTGAAAATGTCAGAGGTACCCTTTAAAAAAGGACACTTTATAAATCATACATTTTCGTGTCATTGTATTTATTTTATTCCCAGCACCCTAGAATGTGTTATTTATACTACATTCTTAAGGAACCTCCCCCCCCCCCACGGTCACGGCAGAGGTCCCAGCATCCCATCCATCAGTGGGTTCCTCCTGATGTAGCAATACTGTGATACCGAATAATAAAGAAGTAAGAAAGACCAGAAAATCAATAGATTATTCTGCAGATCACTTGATTCAGTAATGATCCAGTGCATTTATTGCCAGCCGTTGATTCATAAGGCCTGCTCTCAAGGGCGTACCCACCCCACCTCTGCCCTGTTGACTCCTCTCCCATTGGTACTACTAATTATAAAACATTAAAAGCTAATCACAAGAAAGTCCAAGGTTAGAAAAGACATGCAGTTTGGTTAAACTAGAGGGTTCATTTCATCCTAAGAGAATATCCGGTACATAGCATCGATTCACAGGTAAAAAAACTGATTTATACAAACGTTTATGAAAAAATGAGCTATTGTAAAGATAAAGAAGATTATATGAGTCAATTATAACGGATTCTGATTGGAAAATACCCATGTTCGAATTAAAGGTGAGTATCTGTTTCAGCACCGACTGGAAGGGGGAAACTACTTCAAAGCTGTTTAACCGACGTCATTTATCTTGGTACTACGCAAGCTGACTACCAAAACAATTAAAACAGCCAAGCCATGATGGAAGGACTATTGAAATGATGTGGGCGCCTGTCACAACTTACAGTAAATTTTGGTCTGAAATAGAGAAATAGAATACACGCTACTGTTCCTGCCTACGTTTATATCCACCCGCAAAACAAAACGTCAACTTTTGAGTTTTTCGAAGGAAGATTTGTTTTACAGCTGTTTCCTCCTGATCCTGATCGTAACCCGTCCTGGCTTGACCTCTCTCAGCGCCGGACTCCCCGTGATTAAATTGATATTGAACTTGTAGCTCCTGTATTCCTTTAAAAGCCTTACTAACCATTCAGTGCCGTGGTTTCCGGCTATTGTGCCCGTTGCGTTGCCCCGGTGTGCTGTGACATCACACACGGACACACACGCTCACACAAACCAACACACAGGTATGCAAGTAGATCATTTTAGTGGCCCAAAGTGAACATTGCAGCTGCTCTCACTACCACGTGCTCCCATGTGATATTATGTATCCTCTCATATTTTCCTTGTTGTCACACTTGCATTTTTGCACAGATTTCTGAAACAGCAAGAGGAGCAGCTGCTGCAATACAGTGGTTTGAAAAAAAACAGTTTTTCAAGACTAACAAAACAAACAATAGCAAGACTGACATGGTTGGCTTGAATCCGTGTGTGTGTGTGTGTGTGTGTGTGTGTGTGTGTGTGTGTGTTAGTACCAGCACAAATACGTGTTTTATGATCATCCAAACAAGCTCGGGTTTCACACTGAAAGTAAGTTCCACTGTATTTTATGAGCCACCAGAACACAGTCAAATCCGGGCGTCACATTTTCTAATATTTTGACGGTGAAACAGTGTTTCGGGTGAACTTTGTCTCATGCCATGGCACAACAAGTATGAAAAACATTGGTCAAATGAGCCGAGTGGACTTGGGCCATTTTTCAGGCTGAAACTGAGATCTTGATTACTGAGAAGACACGTGTCCAGCACAAGGCGGCCAAGACGTCCACCTGCAGGAGCCTCATCAAGGTCGACTTATTTTCAGTCACATTGCATGAGGGGGCAGATGAACTGGCATTCACCTTAATTAAATAAAGGCATGTACAAATGTCCTTCAGCAGGTGGCTGTCTTATAGAAGTTAACAGTGGTGGCAGCTGCCTATGTATGGTAAACAGGGAGCATTTCTGCAAAGTGATGGTGGCTGGTGAGGGTGGAGGGAGGAGGGGGACGAGGGGAAGATTGGACAGCTGTCGCCACACTCACCTCTCACTGTGCTGACTTAGAGCTATTGCTCGATCAAGTCTTTGTGTATATTTTTCCAGCGCGTTACAACACTGTGTGCACCAGTGTTGGAGGCCTAACAGAGACACATTTGGTGTGACAGATGTAGGCAGCACATGAGGGCCAGAGCCGAAATGCCTCGGCCATTGAGTTACTCTTTCTGTCGAAACTTCCGGGATGAACGGCGCTGTGAAAATACAATGTTGGGAAGAAAACACTGTGGCCAAAATTTCAGAAATACATGTTGTTTATCTTTTCATCTCAGGGAAATGTGTTTTCTCCATTTAAGCTATTTATGTGTTTAGGCAGCGGACAATGAGAGGTAGGTGGCTACTTCCTCAATCAATTCCAACAGGAAATGAAGGTGCGGGTCCCTCGTGAAAACTGCAGTATTGTATCTATCTTAACTTTCAAAAAACAAGCAATACATTTTGGGGGTTAGAGGTGAGTTCATCCTAAATAGTACACTAAAATGTACTTAATGTGCTCAAACGTCAGTGGGGAAATTATCGGTGCTGCTATCGCTTAAAGAAAAAACAAAAAATGACAGAAGCGTTTGTTTTACACGAGAAAACAACGCCGGCTGCAACGTGCTGGTCACTGCACCATATGGCGATGATAACGCGCTCAGGTAAAATCAAATATTAATAAATTCCTAATCAGCTTGGAGGGACACTGAAACAAGATAGTTAACAGAAATGTGTAGAGTCAGCAAGGTCTTTCACAGCTGTGGTCTTTAATAAGATTGGAGAGGCATACAACGGCATTGCAGTCAACGTCATGTTGAGCTGCTCCCTCTGTCCGTGACTCCAACAGAGGGAAAAAAGAACAGACAAATAAGGGAGGCGAGGGGAGGAAAACATGGTCATCTGTTTCAAAAGAGCTGAAATCTGATCTCGGGGGGGGGGGAGGCGTAGTCGGAGGCACCGCATAGTACACATCATCTCCCCCTGATCATTCATGCTTTCTAATTACAGAAGGTGAGGAGGGCCATAATTTTATCGTATTTGTTTTGCATCACTGCAAAAACAGAAAATGAGGGCTCGACAAGCTGCACCAATTTACTTCATTTCGACCTTGATTAAAAGAAAATTAATTGCCACATCTCTCATTATGTTGCAGGCTGCATTTGATGACGCGAATGGAAAAAAACATAAAAATACGATGCGGCGGCTCAGAGGGAGTGTGAGCTCGACCTGGACGTTCACGAGACAGCGCGCTGCTCTAATGATGAAAATAAACAGGCGCTCACCGCAAAGTCGTCGCGAGAAGCTGTCAGATGTTAGAATACTGTTGCAGGAGGCTCTGGAGTC